TGTTTTGTATTTTAAGTGACGATACATCAATTTTTATATTTAAAATATGAGTTTCGGATATAAAGTGGTTATATTTGTTGGTTACCATGCACTCATATTGAAATAAAATTTGAATTTTCGTACTGTACTTTATTACGTAATATTATTATATAAATTACTTATACATTTGTATATACAATATTATTATATAATATTATTTATTTGCTTAGTAAATTTAAAAAGGAAAATATCCATATGTACGAATAGAGGAATTTTTGCGGAAAAGAGGAATTTCAGCGAATTGCCTTATCATCACACGGCAGCACTCCATTTCGTCGTAATTTTTGGTAAACAAATGGGGTTAAAACGAGTGTAAAATGTAATTTTTAAAATGGGGATTTTTTAGGTAAAAAACGTGCTAAAAGTGTAAGATATGGAGTTTTTTTACAAGTTTATAGTGTAATTTAATTAATTTGAAGTGAAAAATGTGAATAAAGTGTGTTTAATGTGGTGAAATAGCGTCTTGAAATGTACGAATTTTGCGAATTTTTGAACTTTAAGGTCGAATATCTCCTAAACTAAGCGTTTGCGGTACCCTATATATCTTTTAATCAGGAGGACTTCCTCTTTCCAACGGTACCTTCAGATCGCGGCGCCAAAGAAATCGGAATTGTGCATCAAATTGCAAAACGTTTCATAATATATACTTAAATTTCGCATTTTCCTTGATTTTCATTACTTTAAATTTTTATTAGCGATCTTGAACGGCGGCAATAAATTCCTCCGTTCACATATATTTTTGGTATAATTTCAATCTGGCCCTTCCAGTCATTCCAATTGCAAAACGTCAAAACCTACTCAATCCAGTCAACTGTCAAAGTTCGGTAGGTTTTGACGTTTAGCACTTGGTCTCTCACTTCCAGGAGTTGGGGATCTCATTATCTCTGACGGCAACTGAAGAAGGGACGATCGGAATTCGCTGATCCAGCTATTAGCGTCCTTAGAAGTTGTGACCTTGCCTAGTAACCACACGTTCCTTTAAGTCATTTGTTCATTTAATCATTATTTATTAAAAAACCATTTTTTATCAAAAATAAATTAAAATAAACTATTTTAATAACAAATAAATAAGTTTACTGGCGCTGTAACCTATGTACCTCTTTTTCAAAAATCACACATTCGGGCCACAGCAATTTATAAATGTTAAAAACCTTTTTGTATATTATCAAAAAAGAAAACAAAAAATAATAATTTAAAAAATCGAAAAAAAACTAAAAAATAATTATAATTCCAAATTAAAATGTTCTAGAAAACATTGTATTTTTTTTTGGAGAGAGCACGTGCTACATACAATAACTACGACGCAATAAATGTAGGGTTATAAAGCTTTTTGTAACCGCGCCAATATACAACAAGCGAAAAGTGTAACCGAATTTACAGAAACGAAGATAATGATAATGACACTGTGAGGTGGTCAGGTATTTGACTGACTTTATTTGCACAATTCTTTTCCTAAAATAATATTCTATACAATATTACAATACCGCTAAATACATAATTCCGCTATGCATTAATTCATATATACATATATGTATGTATATGTTATGTACTTCTAACAGTTCTTAAAACTAACTTCCTCTTTAACGCTATTGCTTCGTTATATATAATTTAGTCACGAAACGAGAAATGTAAAATGGGATTGCAAGATTGCAATATGCTGCTTACATACATATTAAGCTTATAGCGGGATTCTGCAACCAGTCTCTAGTTTCTATTTGAGACATTTTGAGGTAAAGTCTCAATTTGTAACTAGTTACTATTCACTAAACAGTCTCTAGCGTTAGTCTCCAAACTTCTTCTTATTCTTAATTGGCGTAGACACCGCTTACGCAATTATAGCCGAGTTAACAACAGCGCGCCAGTCATTTCTTCTATTCTCTACGTGGCGCCAATTGGATATTTCAAGCGTCCTTCTCCACCAACTTAGTGGAGGTCTTCCTCTTTCTCTGCTTCCCCTGGCGGGTACAGCTTCGAATACTTTCAGAGCTGGAGTGTTTTCCTCCATTCGGATAACATTATCTAGCCAGAGTAGCYGCTGTCTTGTCGTCATATATCTCATACAGCTCATCGTTCCATCGAATGCGATATTCGCCGTAACTAACGCGCAAAGGACCATAAATCTTCCGCAGAAATTTTCCCTCGAAAACTCGCAACGTCGACTCATCAGTTCTTGTCAACGTCCAAGCCTCTGCACCATATAGCAGGACGGGAGTTATGAGTGACTTGTAGAGTTTGGTTTTTGTTCATCGAGAGAGGACTTTGCTTAGTCCAAAGTAGAACCTGTTGGCAAGAGTTATCCTGCGTTGGACTTCCAGGCTGACATTTTTGGTGGTGTTTACGCTGGTTCCAAGATAGACGAAATTATCTACAACTTCAATGCTATGACTGTCAACAGTGACGTGAGAGTTACGTCGCCAGACATATTTGTTTTGCTTTCTTGTCCAGTATGGAGAAAGCAGAACTAACGGCTCAGGTGTTGAGCCGATACGCCAGCAGCTGTACACTCTTATAGAAGATGGTACCTTCTCTATTTAGTTCTGCAGCTCGAATTATTTTCTCCAGAAACAGGTTGAAGAAGTCGCACGATAGGGAATCGCCTTGTCTGAAACCTCGTTTTATATCGAAAGGCTCGGAGAGGTCCTTCCCGATTCTGATGGAGCTTTTGGTTTTGCTCAACGTCAGCTTACACAGCCGTATTAGTTTTGCGGGGATACCCAATTCAAACATCGCTGGCTAAAGGCAGCTCCTTTTCGTGCTGTCGAATGTAGCTTGGAAATTGACGAAGAGGTGGTGTGTGTCGTAACGTTGCGAGGTTGGCAGCCCGTTTTCTCTCCGCTGCGACACGGCACTCCTCGTTCTACCAGCTGTTCTTTTGCACTTTCTGAAAACCAATGGTTTCGGTTGCAGCTGTACGTAAGGAGTTTGAAATGCCGTCCTAAAGTTCCCTTTTACCGCGTTATTGACCAGTGCTCTCAGAGAGCAGGAGTGCAAGCCGAGCTATCTGTTGTGATTGCAGCTTCTCGACGTCGAACATTCCTTGTGTTTGTTTTGGCTTGCGTTTTTTGCTTCACAGAGGCGGGTGCAAATCTTGGCTACAACAAGATAGTGGTCCGAGTCGATGTTAGGACCTCGAAGCTCACGTACATCTAAAACACTGGAGACGTGTCTTGCGTCTATCACAACATGATCGATCTGGTTGGTGGTTTTTCGATCCGCTGACAGACAGGTAGCTTGATGAATCTTCTTATGCTGGAATCTAGTTGTATAAATGAGCATCCTCCCCCGAACATCCACACATACACCACACTATCACACCACATCAACTCAACTTCACAACACTGACACGCACCTTCACCATACGCACTTCACAATTCATCAGGGCTTACAACCCACATTCCACACTACACACCAATCAATCACTTCACGCCAGCTGATTCCACACACCAAAGGAAAAAAAGGAACGACAAGGAGATCAGTAACTCAGTTCGCTCTTGACCTTCATAGCGACTTGTACCCCTATGCGATAATTTCATTTTACGGAGTGGAAGAAATACATAGATACATATATATAAAGAAAAAATTATTAAATTTAATTATTATTGTATAATATATGCAAAAAGAAATACAAGTACTCACATATATATAAGCAAAGTGTATGGAAATTGGAAAATAAATTCCAAAAAGAATAAAGTGAAATAAAGGCATACCTACTGTGCAGTGAAGTTCATAACAATACAAACACAAAATACTGTGAAAAATTAACGTGTAAACCAACAATCAGTTCAATTCCATCTAATTTCCACAAACAACATAAAACGGGCGCGATACTCAATAAATATAAAACAACTTAAACTTAATACAAAATTAAGCAAAAGTAAAAAGCTACGAAAAAAAGGGCAATACGTCAACAAATTGGAACGCCGGCGGAGAAGCGAAACATCCCCCTAGGAAACGCACACATTTTTAAAATTTAACCCCCAAAAATCTCTGAGGAAAATCTGAGTGAGTGATAACTCGGGTGATGGAGCACGGTGCTCGTTCGTTCCGTAGATGTGGTTGGCCGTGGGGAAACGGTCGGCGCAAGTTATTCCACAAAAATGTTAAAATAAAAACCAAAAAGTCTCATATAATAAATGTATTTAATTATAAAATTTGGAACAACACTTACCACGTCTGGATCGGTGAGCGGTCGCAAAAGAAGAGCGCGCGCAACTTTTTAGTTATGGTTTAGTTGCGCGCAAATTAAAACTTCGAAAAAACTTGGAATAAGATTAAAAGAAAAGATTGCTCTGCCGATACAGACGTGGCAAAAGAAATTMGGCGGGGGCGGCGTCAACATTCTCCCCGCCTTGCAGTATTACTGCAAATGCAGTTTACAATAGGTTACTTAAAACTAACTTAACTAACTGGCTCCTGAACTTCCTCTTCCACATCTTCTTTGCAGATGGGGTGGCCGACGAGACGAATCGAGTCAAGTTCGGTCCGGGAAATGCCACTGAGATGAATCGAATCTCAGTCGATCGTTGCCATGCTGCCAATCCGAAAGGAAGTTATCAGCACCCCGAAGTCGGCGAAACGACTCGAGTCTGGCTCGATCTTGGGCGTGTGGTATGCGGGAGAGGCATCGTTGGTCAGAGCTTTGCGTGTTACCCTCATGCACTGAGGTGGGCTGATTGTAGACAATTCTGTTAGTCGAACTGTTGCTGCTGCTGTTGTTGCTGTCGTTGTTGTATCGCTGTCTGCGTCTGTGTTAGGATCTGAGTAGGCGTTGACGTCGGCAGTGGCTGTGACTCAAATTGTGAAATCTGTTGTTGTTGTAGTATTGACTTGAAACTAGCGGGTACATCTTGTGTGACCGTTAATATTGCAGCAAACGCATCGCCTAGCAACTGGTGCTGGTGCTGCTGTTGATATGGTTCATGCACTTGTTGTTGGGGGTTGTTGGATGATGTGGTGATAATTGTGGGTGATGTATTTTCGACTGCTGTTGCCGAATAGTCTGTTGATGGGGCGATTGTTGTGCCTGTTGTGTAAATATGAAATTAGTATAATTTTGACTACAAAAATGGTTTTGTGTTTGTTTTTGCGTTATTGTTGAATTTTGTGCCTCGCCTTTGCCATTTATTTTCGCTTCTTCGGAGGGAACGGAACCTGTTAAGATCCAACCGAACACTGTACGTTGCAACAACAAGCAACGTGATGCAACAAGTGATCCGAAGATTTTCGATTTTACCCCATTTAGAATGATTTTCGGATAAAGATCCACTCCAATCAACAAGTCAACCTTTTGAGTCGCATAGAAATTATTATCCGCTAAGGGGATATTGGGTAACCTCTTTAAAATTGAGGAATTAATTGACCTGGATGGGAACAGTCCAGTCAACTTTGGCAGTACCAACGCTTCCGCTTCTAGTCTTAAACTTTTGTTGCAGGGCGAGCCAATTGTAATCGCGCATACCGATTGAACTCGCCTGATACGGTATTACTCAATCCTGAAACCAGAGAACGTAAAGTATAGAGAAGGTGCAAATCGAAATCTGTATGATGTTCGATTGCGCGGCTAACAGAGCTGATAGATTTATAGTAGGGAATTCACCATTTACGCTGCTATTTAGCAGAATTGAGCACGTTCTCTGGTAAAAATATATGTAAAACGACTGAATTCATGCGAGAATAAATAAAGAGAAATGCTTTGTAGAAAAATATACAAAGTCACACAAAGAATGTAAAAAAGCATTCTTTGCCTCACATATGCATGCTTATTTTAAATTCTATGAACCATTGTTTTCCGAAAAATGGTAAAAATTTTATATTATAAAATTAATTAAAAAATAATTTTCAATAAATTATTATTTCA